GTAAATCTCACTTGACAACTCGAGTTGTTTGCAGACTTCCGACAATTATCTGTCAAAATAAGTCGCGATTTACATCTAGTTTAGATGAGGAACCCACTCCAACAGCATCGCCGAGCGGCAGCACCATCAACCATTATGGTCTTGAACAAAATGTGCATAGAACCCATTTACAAACCCATGAAGTTACATATTCCGAAGATGATACTTAGCTATTTTGTGGAAGGGACCTGGCGGATTTAGATGAAGAAGATGAAGGTAATGAATCTCACCAGGAGTATTTCAGGCCTTGCCGTCCTATGCATTATCAACAACAGTCAGGAGAATTTCGAGTCAAATTAAACATTCCTTATATTTTTATAGGCACCTGCATGTGATAGATTATTTAGATTGAGAAAAGTTGTCGAAAATTTCTTCGAATTTATGGAAATTGAGCTTTGACAAACAAGTAAAATATGTTGTTTGCTTGTGGACTAAAAGGGGATGCTATTGCTTGGTGGACACAACTCTTAAAAAAGAGACTATGAGAAGGTAAAGGTTGAGTACGCAGTTGAATTCGGATGAAGCAATTTTTGAGAGCACATTTCTTGCCTACAAATTTTAAGCATATATTATACATGAAATATAAGCATTGCATACAAGAAGCTCGATCCGTAAGTGAATACACTGAAGAATTACATAGGTTGAGTGCGATAAACAATCTTAATGAGGCCACTAATCAATTGTTCACCTGTTATATTGGTGGCCTCAAGGATAGCATACAAAATAAATTAGAACTAAATTTTGTATGGTCACGGTTCACGGCTGTAAATTTAGCATTGAAGGCAGAAATGCATTAGAATCGCCAATTCTGAACCCTTTATAGTTGGCGTCATTTTCAGGAACTTCCCTTTGCAACTAATAAGAGCCGTTCACCTATTACCAAGACACCTAATATTGCAAATCCATACACTCAGGTTGTTCATTTAGGTAATCAAGCTAACATCAATCCGGATAGCAAATCACAACTCAAACTTGTAACTGTAGCTAATGATAACCCATTTGATAAACTCTCTACACTCAAATGCTTTCGTTTCTAACCCAGTCACAATTCCAACGAATACTCGCAAAGAAAGCTAGTACATATATTGGAAGCATATGAAGAAAATGATCCAATCAACACAGAATTGGAGGGAGATGGAGAAACAGAGAACCTTGGAAGTGATGAGGGAGAACCTTTGGTGTGTGTTATGGAAAAACTGCTGCTAGCCCCTCGGCAAGCAATCCATTCTCAACGTAATGCCATTTTCAAAACACCGTGCACAATTAATGGGAAAGTTTATGATCTCATCGACAACTGGTGCACTGAAAACATAATTTTCAGATCGGTTGTCCAAAACCTTTAGCTCAAAACTATCTGAAACCCACATCCATATATAATCAGTTGGGTCAAGAAAAATATGTAAATTTTGGTTACTGAGATGTGTCGAGTAACCTTTACCATAGGAAAATAATACGTTTGTGACGTCCTGTGCGATGTCTTGGATATGTTTGTCACCTCATATTGGGTAGACCATGTAAATTCAACGTTGGTGACAATTATGATTGTAGAGCAAATGTATATTCCTTTGAGTGAAGGGGCAATGTCTGCAGCTGCTACCATGTTCAAATGAGCATAAATTACAAACTTCTGGGCATGCAAATTCAGTGGCAATGCTTATAGTCTCAGGACCAACTTTACTTCACTGTTGGCGTGAATATACTCCTTTATTTGCTTTGATTGTAACTGAACGAACACCTACTTTAATAAAAAAGGAGTTAACAGTGAGATGTGCAAGCTCTTAGATCTTTTTAGGGACATTGGTGCCGAGGAGCTGCCTGCTGAGCTTCTCTCTGCAAAGTATACATCATTAGATTGATATTATTCCAGGTGCGATAGTGCCTAATCTACCTCACTACCGGTTAAGTCCAAAGGAACATGCCATCTTATAGAAAATAATTGATGATCTATTAGAAAAACATCTCATCCAAACTAGTTTAAGCCCAGGTGCAGTTCCCACATTACTAGTTCTATAAAAAGATGGCAATTAGCACATGTGCATGGACAACCAAGCCCTTTAACAAAATAACTATCAAATACAGATTTTCGGTACCACAAATTGTTGAACTCATCGATAAGCTTGCAGGCTCTTCCATCTTTTCTAAATTAGATCTCCATAGTGGGTAAATCCAAATTCACCATGGGGATGAGTGGAAGACAACATTTAAATCTCCACAGGGATTGTACAAGTGGAAAGTGGTGCCAATCGGGTTATGTAATGCACCTTTATGAGAATGATGAATGAGGAATTAAAACCTTTCTTGGGTAAGTTTTGCATTGTTTACTTCAATGATGTATTGATTTATAACAATACTTTGGAACAACATTTCAATCATCTGGCTGCTCTCTCTGAAGTTTTAAAACAGCATAAACTATTCATTAACCTTCCCAAATGTGAATTTACTACTTCCAAAGTCCATTTCCTTGGTTTTATAATTTCTCATGAAGGGGTACATATGGACCAACAGAAGGTGATTGCAATTGTAGATTGGCTAAGCCCTCATTCCTTCTTTGATATTCAAAGTTTTATAGCTTAGTCAATTTCTACTGCAAATTCATTAAAGGCCTCAGTATTATTATGGCTCCCATAACTGGGTGTTTAAAATTAAAATATTTCAATGAGACATTGAACAACAGAAGAGCTTTGAAGCCATCAAAACAGCACTGAGCTTAACTCCGGTATTGGCGATCCCTAGCTTTGGTAATTTGTTTGATGTAGATACTGATACTTCTTATGTTGGTATTGGTGTAATGCTATCCCAAGAAGGTGAACCTATTACATTTTTCAGTGAAAAATTATGCTCGGCAAGACAAAAATGGACAGTTTATGAGTATGAACTTTATGCAGTAATTCGTGCACTTAAACAATGGGAACACTATCTATTACATCAGGATTTCATTCTCTGCAGTGATAACAAAGCACTCCAATACATAAATAGTAAAAGAAATGCTAACAAAATGCATGCTCGTTGAATATTGTTTCTCCAAAAATTTTTGTTTGTCCTAAAACACAAATCTGGTATGCATAATTGTGAGGCTGATGCACTTAGCAAGAAAGTTTTTCTTCTCACATAGCTACAAGCATAAATTATAGGTTTGGACTGTCTTAAAGAGTTGTACATCACTGATCCTGACTTCAGTGAAATTTGGAAATAATGCCTGACTGCTAAAACTATTAATGGCTACTCCATATGCCATGGCTTTGCATTAGCATTTTTTTTGGCCTCGCCTTTGCCGTGATGTCTTTAGACATGTCGACCGCTGCTCAATCTGTCAAATTTACAAAGGAGTTCAAAACACTGGCCTTTACCTAGAAAATATTCTATTTGGGAAGATCTGAGTTTATATTTTATCGATCATGGTGGTCATCTACAGGTTCTCCAAGATGACGGATTTCATCTATTGTAAGAAAGCATCTAATGTCCTTTATATAGCACATATTTTCTTTCAATAAATTGTTCGTTTACATGGTCTGTCTCGAAGTCTAACTTCCGATCGAGATGTCAAATTTATAAGCCATTTTTGGCACGAACTATGGGAACGATTGGGTACTAACTTATGTTTAAGCTCCACTTATCACCCTCAATCAGATGGCCAAACCGAAGTTGTCAGTCACACCTTAGGCAATGTGCTTCATTGTTTGGTGCAATAACATCCTAAGCAATGGGAAGACATGCTGAGCAAAGCCGAATTTGCTTACAACTCGATGACAAATTGTTCAGTTTAGTCCCATTTCAATATTGTATATACTAAATTACCTAACCTAGCATTGGACATTGTTGTTTTACCCAAATGCAAGTCAGATGCTATTGCCACCTTCACCAATAAATATACGTAGATGCTTACTAATGTGCGCAAACAACTTACTGATTCCAATCAGTGATATAAAGCTACAGTTAACGTTCAACACAGACATAAACTATTTCACGTTGGCGATCTCGTCTTGGTCGAGCTGCGTCGAGTACGTTTTTTCTCCAGGAATTTACTCTAAGCTGACTCATCGTAAGATCGGCTCTATACCTATCATAACAAAGATCAATGACAACACAATGTTGCTTTACCATCAAACTGCAACACTTATACATTCGATGTGTCTAATCTTTGGCCCTTTCACTCTCAAGATGAATCTCCCACTGCAATAAGCTCGTCGGATTCAAGCTCCTTAGATGCTGGGGAGGACTGATGCAGAGCAAGTTAAGGAGTAGGATATCTTACCGCCACTTCACCTTCCACTACATTTAGTATCATTTATGTTTTTACAATACTCTTATTACCTTTTTGGTTGTTATACCGGTAATAGTATTATCAAATATTATAGTTATAAAAATATATATATGCTAGTAGACGATGGAGAAGCATTATCGCATATCAATTACAGAATTATTGTTCTATTGAGAATTTTTTCTGTTTCTTTGTTATGCCTGCTCGTCTTCTTCCTGTGACTGCATTAAACTTTATTTCACAACTTTTTTTTTTGTTTTTGTATTATAATGAGCTTAGGTTATACGCAATAAGATCTCGTATATTTAATATGTTCAACTCAAATTTCTAATGCTAGGCATCTTGGTAGTAATTCCTTATTTATAAAAAAATGACTAGCTGTTTGATATGTGTGATATAAAGTCGATTGTATAAGGCTTCATTTGGGATGGCTTTCTTTCTGCTTCTTAAAGCAGCTTTCTAGTTCAAGATTAAAAATTTTTGTGCTAGAAAGTTTCTTTAAGAAGCTGAAAGAAAGCCTTCCCAAACGAAGCCTATGTTTCTATTTTATGTTCAAACCTTACTTTCTAGCCAACTCTATACAAGCTTTGCATGACTTTATTAAATGTCTTCTTATCTTTTCATATATGAATGTTCACAAGTGGTTGGTTAATCTAGTCATTCATGGGTAGCTTTTCATAACCGTAGAAGTGTACTTGTGCAGATGGTTGCTTTCGAAAAGGATGAGTCTTTTGGATTGCAACAACTAGGCAAGAGTAACGGGAATTTGGGCTTAATGACGTCCTCAGTAAATGATAATGTAGTGGGGTTGGAAACACCCGATGGTACAAGAGCAATGACCGAACCATATGGAATACCATGTATGGTGGAGATCTTCCACTTCTTGTGCTCTCTACTGAATATTGCTGATGAGATTGGGATTAGTCCCTGGACAAACCATATGGCTTTGGATGAAGATGTGCCGCTTTTCGCTCTTGGGATGATCAACTCAGTTATTGAGCTGGGGAGATCTTCAATACGAAGGCATCCTAAGCTGATTGCTTTGATCCAGGATGAGCTTTTTCGGAATCTAATGCAGTTCGGCCTATCGATCAGTCCATTACTACTATCCACAGTGTGCAGTATAGTTCTGAATCTCTACTACCACTTGCGAACAGAACTTAAACTGCAGCTTGAAGCATTCTTCTCATGTGTGATCTTAAGGTTGGCACAGGGAAAGAATGGGGTTAGTTACCATCAGCAAGAAGTGGCTTTGGAGTCCTTAGTGGACTTTTGCAGGCAGAAGACTTTCATGGCAGAGATGTATTCCAACCTGGACTGTGATATAACTTGCTGCAACATGTTTGAAGAAATCACCAATCTATTGTCAAGATGTGCATTCCCGGTGAACTCCTCATTATCTATGACGCATATTCTAGCCTTGGAAGGTCTTATTGCTGTGATTCAGGGAATGGTGCAAAGAATAGGCAACCTGCCTCCTAATTCACAACAACCTCTACTGGAACTGCATGAATATACTCCATTTTGGTGTGTGAAGTGTGAGAACTATTCTGATCCTGAGCATTGGCTTGAATTTGTTCGTCGTAGAAAGTTCATCAAGAGGAGGCTAATGAATGGTGCTGATCATTTTAATAGGGATCCAAAGAAGGGGCTTGAATTTCTGCAGGGAATTCATCTATTGCCTGAGAAACTTGACCCTAAGAGTGTGGCTTGTGTCTTCAGATACACTGTTGGGTTGGATAAAAACCTTGTTGGGGATTTCTTGGGTAACCACGATGAGTTTTGTGTACAGGTCCTTCATGAATTTGCTGGTACATTTGATTTCCAGGATATGAATCTTGATACCGCTTTAAGAATCTTCCTAGAGACATTCCGCTTGCCCGGTGAGTCGCAGAAGATACAGAGAGTGCTTGAGGCTTTCTCCGAGAGATATTATGAGCAGTCACCCCATATTCTTGTCAACAAGGATGCTGCCCTTTTATTATCATACTCACTCATAATGCTAAACACAGATCAGCACAATATGCAGGTAAAGAAGAAGATGACAGAAGAGGACTTCATAAGAAACAACCGACTCATTAATGGTGGAAATGACCTGCCCAGAGAATTCTTGTCCGAACTTTACCATTCGATATGTAAGAATGAAATAAGGATTACCCCTGATCCAGGTTTTGGTGTTCCTGAAATGTCCCCGAGCCGCTGGACTGATCTAATGAGAAAGTCAAAAGTGACATCTCCATATGTTGTTTATGATTCCAGGCCATACCTTGATCGTGATATGTTAGCAATCATGTCAGGTCCCTCCATAGCTGCTCTTTCTGTGGTGTTCGATCATGCACAGAATGAAGATGTTCTGCTTACTTGTGTGGATGGTTTCTTGGCAATGGGAAAGATATCTGCATACTACCATCTTGGAGACGTATTAGATGACCTCGTTGTATCTCTCTGCAAGTTCACAAACTTGTTGAACAGTTCTATGTTTGATGAACCTATTACAGCATTTGGGGATGACACAAAAGCTAGGCTGACAACCGAGACAGTTTTTAACATAGCAAATAATTATGGTGATCATATCCGCACTGGTTGGAGAAATATCCTTGATTGCATTTTGAGATTGCATAAAGTAGGCCTTCTTTCTGCACAGTTGGCTACTGATGCAGCTGCTGATGTAGAACCAACTGAAGATGCAGAACCTGGAAAACCTCCCATGAACTCTGTCTCAGCATCCAATATTCCATCTGTGGGTATAACTCGTAGATCCTCTGGTCTTATGGGGAGGTTTAGCCAGTTACTTTATTTTGACACAGAGGAACTGAAAATAGAACCAACGGAACAGCAACTCGCTGCTCATCAGAGAGCACTTCAGACCATTCAGAAGTGCCACATAAATAATATATTCACAGAAAGCAAGTTCCTTCATGCTGATTCATTACTGCATCTTGCAAGGGCCCTTATCCTGGAAGCAGATAGGCCTCCAAATTTCAGCAGTTCACCAGAAGATGAAGACACAGCGGTTTTCTGCTTGGAGCTGCTCATTGCTATCACATTGAATAATCGAGATAGAATTGCTCTTCTTTGGCAGGATGTGTATAAACACATAGCGAATATAGTCCAGTCTATCGCAATGCCATGTGCTCTTATAGAGAAGGCAGTGTTTGGACTTCTTAGAATCTGTCAGCGACTACTTCCATACAAAGAGGATCTGACTGATGAGCTTCTCAAGTCACTTCAGTTGGTGTTGAAACTTGATGCCCGTGTAGCCGATGTTTACTGCGAGAATATTACACAGGAAGTTACACGATTGGTGAAAGCAAATTCTACTCACATAAAGTCTCAGATGGGGTGGAAGTCGATTATCTCGTTGCTGTCGATCGCCGCCCGCCACCCCGACGCTTCTGAATTTGGTTTTGAAGGACTGGTCTTTATCATGTCTGATGGGGCTCACCTCTCACCAGCTAACTACATTCTTTGTATTGAAGCATCGCGACAATTTGCAGAATCTCGTGTTGGGCTCATCGAGAGATCCACTCGTGCACTTGATCTGATGGCTGAGTCTACCATCTGTCTTATTCGCTGGTCTCAAGAGACTAAAAAAGCTGGTGGAGAAGCTGAGAAAATAACTGAAGGAATTCAAGAGTTGTGGTTACAGCTTATCCAAGCTCTGAGAAAGGTGACATTGGATCAAAGAGAGGAAGTGAGAAATCATGCCGTGGCATTATTGCAGAAGTGTCTGGCAGGAGTAGAGGGGATCAGCTTCTCACCCTCAGTTCGGCTTCAATCTTTTGATATTGTTATATTTAAGATGCTTGATAACTTACTGGAAATCGCGCAGGGCCCGTCGCAGAAGGATTATCGAAACATGGAGGTAACTCTTGTCCATGCCATTAAGTTAGTTTCCAAGGTATTTTTGCACCTGCTGCATGAGCTCTGTGGACTAAGCAGCTTCTGCAAGCTTTGGCTCGGGATTCTTAGTCGCATGGAGAGGTTCATGAAGATAAAATTTAGAGGTAAAAGAAGCGAGAAACTCCAAGAGTTGGTCCCTGAATTGCTCAAGAACATTTTGCTAGTGATGAAATCAACGGGAGTTCTGGTTCAAAATAGCACAGTAGGTGGAGACAGTTTGTGGGAATTAACATGGTTCCATCTGAACAAGTTTGCTCCGTCACTTCAATCAGAAGTATTTCCTGAAGGTGAATTGGAGCAGAAGGATCACAGTAACCAGCCAAAAACTGATGGAAGCGGTTGAGGAATTGAGCACGGTAATCTAGCAGAAGGTTAAGTTTTGTTTTTGTTTTTGTTTTTTTTTTTCCATAACTTATAACGTCTTTCATGTACAAATCTTATGATTTCTTTTTTAAAAGGTGGAAAACTAGTTCTTACAGGCCATTGATGAAAGAAAGAAATATGATAATCACATTTCATTCAGGTATTATTTTTTTGGCTTTCTAATGTTTTGTTTATAATATATATATATATATATATATAGTCATTGGTAATTTTTGAAAGACACTTAATTGCAAACATTTGAACTCGATTGATGGTTGATGATCAATTTAGTCATACTTCTCATATTATGGAGGATCCAATGACCAAGAAGTTGTGCGGAGTGCAGACGGGGAGAACTGTCCGTATAAGCATCGGGTACCTAGCGGTACCCGCACGCGGTACCGCTGGGTACCCAGTGCTTGTGCGGACGGTGCGCACTCTGCACCTAATAATTTTTCCATTGATAGATCACGACGGATCTGAAAATCAAGTTCTTAAATATGTAGAAATAATGCTTATTTGTAGATTTTTGAATGTGACATTTGGTTCATTTTTACCCAAAAAAATTGATGATCCATCAAATAGTAAAAAAATGTTCTACTTACCATTTTGTGTTTTTCAGATATCTTTATGACTTAATTCAGAGTTAAACAATCTTTGGATATTTGATTAAGCTTTGCTAAAACTCACACATGCAAAAGCTTGAGGATGTTTGGCCCCTTAAGTAGTCTTGATAAATTTTCACTCATGTTGTTGGTTGCTTAATGGAGGCCTATTTTAATGGAGATCATAAACAAAGTTATTACTCTTTGATCATTATTTCTTAAAATTTTCAAAATTTTATAAAAGTGTTTGGATAATTATGCCTTAAAATTTTCAAAATTTTATAAAATGTTTCAAAAAATTCTCAAAATTTATGTAATCTTTCCTTCCCTCCCTTCACAAAATTTTATAAATATCCTTTAGGAGTTTTAGAGAGAGCAATTTTCCTATAAAAGCATGTCAAAAACTATCCAAAGAGTTACATAATTATGATTGATGTTAGAGATCCATAATTTTTTTAGTTAGGTTGTCTTCTCTTGAAAAATGGGGTGTCTGAGGTTTATATATCTAATGTTAAGGCTCTCTCTATTGCTCTTTCTTGAAAGAATTTGGAATTAAGGAGAGGCATTTAAAGTTTATATTTCTTGTGATAAGGCATCGATCTTTCTAAAAAAAAAAAGTTTGAATGCTCTTATTTAGGAGAAATTATTGTGTGCGGAATCCGAATGCATTCGGATTTCAATCATAGCTTGCCACATCAGCGGATGCACTCCGGGGCTCAATGCATCTAGTGATGTGGCACATGATGATTGACACAATAATTTCACCTTATTTAGACAAATTTAACCCAAGGATCATAATTTTTGCGGTTTTACTCTTTTTTAATAAAAAAGTGATAAATTATCATTATTTAAATAAATTTGATATGAGAATAGCTTGAGAGCTTGTGCCTATTTTCTACTAGAATTGTGAATTCTCTCTTTCTCCATCATATTTTATAGTGATATCGGCTTTGTTTGGGTTTGTTCTCTTGCTGTTTTTTAAATTAATTTTTTAGTAAAAAAAATTTATTTTTATACTAAATCACTTTAAGAAGCAATAAAAAAACCGTAGTACAAAAGAAGCCATAATCTAGTAGAAAAAATCATTTACATCTTCCAATGCAGCATCTTTTATTAAAATTCTCTTCTTTAATTTTCCTCTTACTTTCACATTGATGAGACCTTTCTCTCCATTAAAAGAGTAAAATCGTCTTGAAAACTCAACACTCCTCAAATCCTGATACTTTATTACTAAAATATTCATTTAATTACAAATTAAATTATATAATCAAAATTAACATTTAATTTTTCTTTCATCAGACCCAAAATAAAATTTCAAATTAAAATGATAAAATTTGCAATGTTAAGTTTTAATCAAAATATAGATTTTCTTTTTTCTTTTCTGTAAATATCTTCACTGCTGTTTCTGACACCATTTCTCACATAGGAAACCATATTCGAGTTTAGTGTGCATTAACGGATCTTGGCTTCTGTAAAGAATCCGATTTTGGCTGTTATCCTAATAGGCTAATAAGCTGTATGTAGACCCGGTTAGGGTTGTCGGATCCAATAGCCAAACTTGTGCATGTAACAAAGAAAATCGTCACAAAAATATTACTAAAAATCTTCAAATAATATTAAATTATTAAAAGCTTGTAACAAATCTAAATCAAATGCAAACTTCAACGAAATAAGAATTATTTCAACTCAAAATTATTACTGAAATAAAATTAAATTGAAAATAAATAAAAATCCACTTAATAAAAACATTCAAATTAAATTTCTTAGTTAAATCACTAACGATTATCTTTGATATCTAAAATATCAAAGAGTATAATACACAAAGATATTTCTTTCAAAATTAAAATGACCGTCTTTCGAGCTTTAATTCCGCTCTTGCAGCAGATTCGCCATCAATTCCTCTACTACCTTTGTCGTCACCGTCGTCATCGCGGGGATGATGGTGATACTTTATATGCAGGATAATTTCAGCTGAAGCTTCTTCTTTGCATTAAACTTAAAAGCATATATTTATGTTGCGGTGGAAGACAGTGTTTTTGAAAAACGTGGCATTGAGTTGCTGGAGCCAGAAGAGTTTTCCGGCAGAGGGGTAATTGGCCGTGTAACACGCCGCCGATGAGGAATGGCCGGAAGACAAAGTTGCCACATATTCTTCAGTCCAGCTGGTACTGTTATATATTAGCATCCTAATAAAAAATTAAAATTTTATTTAAAATATCATATCTCAAATTTATAACTTCATCAAATTTTGAGCAATCCTTTATATGAATTATTATATTATATAAAAAATATTGCCTATATATGTTGATGTGGTTCGGATGAATCTAGAAGTACTTATTTATTCTATTTATTTTAGTAATTAAATCAATATATTATAACTCGTTTAGAAGTTATAATATATTATTGTTATACTATTTTATTAAGTTTAATATTATATTTAATGCAAACAATATAATCATTCATATAAACGATTGCATAAAATTTTATAAAGTTATAAATTTGAAATATGATACTTTACATAGAGATTTTTCTTAGAATGAGTATATAATTAGCACGTTTTCTCTATGGACAATTAAGGGATTAATCAACAAAATACAAATGCTAATTATATTATTATCTCAATTATTATTTACAAACAGAATAGAATAATAATTCTAACCAAAGCATGCATGAATACTGTAAAATATAGTATTATCTAAATAATTCTTTAAAATAAGAGATGAAATAAAATAATTAATGCCAAAAATATTTACCTGAAAATAGAAGCAGCTGAGCTGGTTTCCTCTCTAATAGAACTGTGTGATCAGAATTTTTTTCTTCATTCTCCTCCAAATGAGAAAATTGTTTTTTGATTTGATGAACCATACTAAAATGAAGAGATACAATATCGATCAACAATAAGCATAGAATTATTAAATTTTTTAAAAATATTATAAGAAGTTGAATATAACTAAATTATACAAAATAGAACTTCTACCTGAGCGGAAGAATATGCGGCAATTTCGTCTTCCGGTTATTCCTCGTCGGCGGAGGGTTACACGGCCAATTAGCTCTATGACGAGAAAACTCTTCTGGCTCCGACGACTCAATGCCACGTTTTTCAAAAACGCTTTCTTCCACCGCGACATAAATATTTGTCATTAAGTTCTATACAAAGAAGAAGCTCCAACTGAAATTATAATGGGTATAAAGTATCACCATCACCCCCACCATGTCGCCGCCGGCGACAAGATGGAAGAGGAAAAGATGGAGATACTGTTGCAAGAGCTGAATTAATTCTGAAAAGACGACCATATTGATATTGGAAATGGCGAAGCCTATATAAAATATATTGCATTTGCCGTTGCCTATCTCCTCCTTTCAGTCCCTGCAACTCGCCGCTATAAGCAAATCGTGAATTCCGTCACTGAGGCCGCGTGTTACATTTGAATGATTCGTCAAGTAAAACTACTTAACTAATTCCATCAGAGACGGCTATATGCTTTCAGATCAGTTTTTATAAAATTTAATTTCGATTTTACGTACTGGGGGGAAACATTTAAGATTATGTTGTTAGCTGTATATATAATAATAATAATAATAAACTTGGGGCTTGCTAGGGTTTCGCCCTAGCGTTTCCCTCGCGTTGCCAGGCCTCACTCTGGTGGGGCTGGCTCTCTTCTCGTTTCCAGGAAAGTGGTTCTTCTCCTTTTTCCTCTTTGCTAGTTCATTTTTGGTTTTGGCGGTGTTTTTCTTCCTCTGGCACGTGCCGGATGGCGCCGAAGCTTTCTGACCCTGGTTTTTTAGGGGGCTCACCTTCTTCTCATTCTTTTGTAGATGTTCTTCCGGGTTCTTCTGCTGGAAATGAGTTTCCTGAACTTAAGGTTTCTTCTTACCGTGGTTTGCCTTCCCTTTGGATTTCGGATCAAGAAATTAAGGCGTTGACAGTTCCTTTTCAGTTCTCTTTAGTTTATTTCTTTCCTGCTAAACGCCCGTCCCTAGATTCAATTCGTAATTTTTTTTTCAATCTCAAGCTCATTGGAGACGTATCAGTCATCACCTTGTTGGATTCGTCTCATGTCCTTATCAAGCTTGCTAATGACCTAGATTATTGCCACATTTTCTGCTATAGATCGTATCTGGTTTTTAATTGTTACATGAAGCTTACCAAGTGGTCTCCCCTTGTTGATGTCGGGGTTGAGTCGCCGGTGATCCCGATTTGGGTTTCTTTCCTGCTTCTGCGGCCTCATCTCTTTTCCCCACGAATTCTTCATGGCTCGGCTTCTCTCTTTGGCAAGCCATTAAAAATTGACACTGCAACTTCTTTTGGGTCTAGACCGTCTTTAGCTCGTGTTTTAGTTGAGCTGGATATCACTAAATCATACTCTGATAAGGTCTGGTTAGGTTCAGAGAAGCTTGGTTATGTCCAGCAAGTAGTGATTGATGATTTCCCTAATTTTTGTGCTGCTTGTCGTTGTATCGGACATGCTGTGGGAGGGTGTCGTCCTAAAGTTGATTTCTTGGATTCGGTTGTTTTGCCCCAAATTGTTAAACCTCCAGTTGAGGTTTCTCCTAACCCTAT